TGGACCATGCCGGGTCGGGTCAAGTACATACCAGAAATAGTTATGGACTTATACACCTTATCCAACAATGAGGTATGATGGGGGAACTCACTAAGCTTTGTGCTTACGGTTTCAGTTTTGTTTTCAGGTACCTCTTCATCAAAGAGGAAGGAGCCGGCGGCGTACCAGCACATCACACACACACACATGGTTTCCGCAATGAGTTTTTTGGGATTGTACTCTGATTTATATTACTGTTCGATGTTGTGATTTTGAGACATGTTCATGATGGTTTATGGATTGTTATGATGTTTTCAGTAAACGATTTTATAAATTACTTAATTACAAAAGGAATTTTTGGACTCGAAATTTGGGATGCTACAAGTTGGTATCAGAGCCTTGGTTTGAGGGATTCAGACACACCCTCGGGGGTGTCTGGACTCAAATCGAGGGCTTGAAAGATTTTAAAAAAAAATAATAATATATATAGTTTTCTAAAATCTGAGATAAGGAATTTTGAGAAAGAACAAGGTGTGTGATGCGTGTGACCGGCCGAGCTCAAGTAAGTTTTCCCCAGGATACCCATACTTGTTATGTTATGCTATATGATGTGATTATGAAAACTGCATGCTAGATTAGGGCTAAGGATCTAGGAGGATGCCTTGTATGCCTGTTATATGAATCTGAGAACTGCATGCTAGAATAGAACTAAGGATCTAGGAAGGATGCCTTATATGCCTGTTGTATGAGCTTATTGAGCTGTATGCTAGGGCTGTCTAGTCAGCAGTAGGGTAGCCTGAGTGGGTTATGCTTGGTTTGGTTACTCAATGCACGAATGTTGCTTGCTTTGTGCTTGTAGGGGTTCTAGCTTGCCTTAACTAACTAGTAAGTGGATATGTAATAGTATTCGCAAACTATTTAGGGAAGGATGGTAGGGACTCCTTGAGCAGCTGATGGCGGAGAGTAGGTCGGAGAAGGCCCTAGGTCAAGCCTAGGATGAGATTAGCTTGAATAGCAGATTTGGTAGAAGGAATTTGGTGAAGTCAAAGCGGTCCTTGAGGAAAGTACGGATAGATGTGGAAGGTAGTATGGGCCCGTACTACTGGAAGCAGAGGATCCGTACTCGAGTCAAGGGAGGTTGACCCGTTCTGCTTGAATTCCTTTCAAATGAACAATACAATTTAAATAGAAAACATTACTAACTTTGTCCTAGAAATAAGTAAATGTGCATGCAGGTAACAAAAACGTGGACTCCTAATGAGGAGCACTAACTCCTTTATTGACTCTTGAAGAAAAGACCAAGTCTTTCTCCATAAACTCATGAATGTGACTAAATGAAAACATAAGAACGGGTCTCCTAGTAAACATGTTCGTATCCACACTCCGTCCCTCAAAAATGGCCTTGTCCTCAAGGCCGAGCTCGTGTTGTGCACCGACGGTCCATGGTGGGTCGGTTTCTGATTAAAAGATTAGAAATTTGGGTAGGTTGCATCCGTTACCCGTATGGTATTTTGCAGCGCAATTGTAGCAAAGACCTTCGGTGCGTCGTCTTTGCATTTTGGTGGGGCTTAACCGCTTGATCGGAAGTGGTGAAGAAGATGGTGAAGGGGTGGGCAATAAGGGTGGTTGTGTTGGCGTCAGTTCATGAGAACCATCGAATGATGGGATTTGATCTTGGAGTTTGTCTTCGATGAGTTTTGCAAGGCCGTAGGCTTGATGAAGGGTGGTGGGTTTGTGGAGTGTGATTTCGTTTTGAATGTCATCTCTAAGGCCGGATAAGAAACAAATGAGCAATGATTTTTGGGTGAGGCCGACGACACAATTGCTAGTCTTCTCAAAATCGGACTGGTAGGCAGAAACGGTGGAAGTTTACGTAAGCTTGAAGAGTGTGGCTTGATGATTGACATATGTGGATGGGCTGAAACGCAGCTCCAATGCTCGCGGAAATTCTGTCCGATTTCCAAGTAGTTGGTTGTTGGCCAAATGTTTGTACCAACTTAAAGCTTCGCCGGTGAAATAGAAGATGAAAAGTGATAAACGTTGTGCCGGCGGGATCACATAATATTCGAAGTAATTGGTGGCTTGAAAGAGCCAATCAAGCGGGTTGGAGCCATCAAAGGTGGGAAGGAAGATTTTGGGTGGTCTTGGTTGTTGTTGTTGTGGTGGCGGTGGTGGGGGTGGGGGTGGCGGCGGTGGCGGATGGTTGACCTGTTGGTTGGTTAGGAGGTTGACGAGAATAGCCATGTCTGTGGTAAGTTTTTCGAGTCGAGTGTTGGTGGCGGTGGTAAGGTGGAGGAGAGCTTGAAGTTGGTCTTGCATGGAGAGGGGTTCATTGGGTTTATGTTCTTGTTTTGGAGGCATGGTAAGAGAGATGAAAACACCAAATGATAGAGCCAATTTTGAGATGGCAAATCTCCATAATTAAGAAGAGAGACGAGACTAATTTGGAACTAATTTTCTGCTTGAATTCCTTTCAAATGAACAATACAATTTAAATAGAAAACATTACTAACTCTATCCTAGAAATAAGGAAATGTGCATGTAGGTAACAAAAACGTGGACTCCTAATGAGGAGCACTAACTCCTTTATGGACTCTTGAAGAAAAGACCAAGTCTTTCTCCATAAACTCATGCATGTGACTAAATGAAAACATAAGAACGGTCTCCTAGTAAACATGTTTGTATCACACCCCTACCTCATTTATCATTGATCATTTAGGGGTTAGCTGGTGATCCAAGCTGCTTCCCTTTCGACTATGAAACTTATCCCTCATCAATAAAAGCTATAACTTTCAATATCATATCCTTACTTACGTTGCAAATTTGGAATTGGCATCAAATTGAAGGTTAACATCCAACTGAATTTTTAGTCAATTAGCTTTCTTATACACGGTAATATATCGAAGCTCACAATTTTGAGTTCACAAAAAGGTTAGTGCTCTAAGTGAAGACTAACAAACTGACAAGATCAAATGTGCCAAAAGATAACAAGTAAAGGGCCTCAAATGTAACATCTTTATCTAAAAAAAATATCATATTTTCGAGTTCTGTGATATCTGCAAAAACCCGGAGAGAGAAACACAAAAGACATTATAAATCGTCTCTCTCTAAACCACAAACTTTTCAATGCAACATACACTTGTAAATACTTCATTGCAAGTTGCACATTCTGGTATATTTATGGATTTTGACTCTGAAGAAAGAGAGTATCGCATGTATATAGATATATGGAGAGAGAAAGTCATTTGGATCTATTCTCACCACGACTCTACCAATCTATCTTTCTCTCTCTCTTCTGTGTTCTCCATTTTCTACTTCGCCATGAGAATACGAAAAAATGCAAAAAATTCGACACTTGTATATTCAAACGCAAGTCTTTCGAATGATTCTGATAAATGCTTGGTTCAGATGAACTTGTGTCAGCTCAACCAATCTCCATGGGATATCATCACATTCCCATCTTCAAATTCATCTTCTTCACTCCACCAGGTAACAATAGATCTATCTTCGTCAATATGTTCTCGCAGTTCTTCAGTTCTATGAATCAGATCTACCGAAACAAGGTCATCCCATTTGAAATTACTCAAAATCTTCCGTTTATTTGCTTCACCTTATTCACTAGGGTTTATCTTGAATAATCAAAAACCCTAAATTCCCAGCATTTCCGTCGTCAATTCGAGCTCAATAAGTTAATTTCTTACATTAGTTTTCTTTGTTTTGTCTGATTGAAATGATTATTATAATGCTTCTTCTTTTCTTGATAATTTGTCGAACGCGTTTCTTGTTTTACACAGTTTGATGATAATGAGGTTTACTACAACGTTAATCTTGCTGTAAATGGAACCTCGGTTGATTCCATTGGAGCTTTCGAGAGGTAAACCCGTAATATTTTAGTTGAATCGAAACGATTTTTATTTGCATTCTTTGTGTTATCGTTCATATATAGCTAGAGCCAAGCTAATTAGGGTTGTTTATATATTTATATATGTTTATTATTCTTCGATCATTTCCTTAAATGTGTGTTTCTTTATATGTGCTTCGACTGCTTCATAATCTTTGCTTCCATATTTCGGAAAATTTTGATTCTTTTTTGCGTTATCTTTATGGCCTACACATAAAATTTGGTCATGTTGACTATGTGGATCCAATATATTGAACTATAATTTCGATATTAATTGCTATTATTAAAGTTATTATTATGGGACCAATAACCATTAGGAAAAACTTTCGAACAAACTACAAAGACTTGTGCTTCAAATTCTTCATGATTTAAGTTTGATTGAAGAAAGTTGTTTTCGTTTTTGTGTTTTGATCTGGGGTTCGTATAAAGATTACTCTTGGTGACAGTGTGGCTTCAGTGAAGAACCCCGAGGATGAAAAATATGATCTTGATGATCTAAAGAACGATTATCAAGAAATTTTAGGGTTTAAAGAAGAAAAAAAGAATGAAACTCTAGAAGACATTGTGTTGTGTGGTGAGAGAGATGAGAAAGGATGGCAATGTGGGAAGGTGGTGAAAAATGGCAACACTATGTGCGACCATCATATCATTGAGCTTCAAAACGACTCCATTTGGACTACCAAGAAAAAGTCTCGGTCCGGGTCCGGGCCCATCATGGCTGGAACTCGGGCTCGTCAAACCAAGAAAGGGTCGTCAACAAGCCCATATGAGTTCTATTATTATTCTGGGTTTGGACCATCTTGGGGCAAGAAAAGAGGAGCCGTGGGTAGTAATACAACAAACGCATATAACGAACCTACCAAAATTATGGACATGAGTTTGACCGACGATGATATGAATATAGGGAAGGATATGGTGAAAACAATTGAGCCCAAGATTTCTAAGGTGGGACCCACAATAATGGAATCAGCTACCATGGATGACAATACCAAAAAGGGTAAAACGGGAATTATTGGAAAAAAGAGAGGGAGAAAGCCGATGAAGGCTAGATCATTGAAGTCTTTGATGTGATGAAACATTTGTAATGGTTTTGGATTACTTACATGTGTTTCGGTTTCAAAAGTTTGGCAACTATTATGTATGCTATATTATACTTTTGTATTTGTTAGTCAAATTTCTAAAAAAGTTGAAAGAAAAATGAAATGTAAGAATGCTAAACTAGAAAAGATAGAAATGGGAAGTTAAAAGATAGGACCCTAAGAAAATTGCACAATTTTGCTTATTCTTTGTAAGTAATTATATAGTGCTTGTATCCTAGCATAATCATGATGGAAATGTGTCACTCAAAGTTAAGGATGTAAGTCTCGTTTGAAAAACTATAAGAATGAAGATGAAAACCTATATTAGTAAAAGGGCATTGTCTTCAAAGCTCCATTTCAATAAATCTGAAGAAACATGCAAACTCTTAAGCCATTGTTAAATAATAACTAAAATATTTTGTTTTTAAACATAGATATATTTACCAATTAAATTATTGAGTTGATAAAGTAATTAATTTATTGAAAATAATTTATGAGATTCAAGAATATTCAAATATCACATATATTTTGGAAACCATATATTCACATTTGTAGAAGCCATACATTCTAATCTAAGAAATATGTTTTTTATATAACACTTTGACCACAAATGATGGTTAGTATTCATATTATATAATCAACACATAATTTTCACTTTCGCATGCAAAAATTAAGATATTTGCTCACATACTTAAACGACTCATACATAAGTATATGTAACATCCGGTTCCTGGTATGTATTTAATTCAAAAATTTATTCACTTTTGTATAGAAACTCGACGAGTTGAGGCCCCAAACTCGTCGAGTAGGAATGGAATTGGATGCGGGTTGTAAAGTCTACTCGACGAGTAGGATTGGCAGAATGAAACCCTAATTTTTAGGGTTTTGCACCCTATTTAAACACCTTAACCTCCATAGACTGGCCTCATTTACAACCTCCAAGTCCCAAACCCTAAACCTCGAAACCCTAATGCATTGTGTGAGTTTGTGAGCCATCCTTGAGAGAGTTTTGTGTGTTTAAAGCTTGTGGAAGAAGAAGAAGCTTGAAGAATCAAGAAGCTGTTTGTAGATCCAAAAACTTCACCCCATCCTCGTCACTTTTTGGTAAGCAAGTCTCAAACTTGCCAAATGATTGCTTAGATCTCTTTTATTAACACTTTTATTGGGTTTTTGGTCCAAATATCTTGATCCTTGGGAAATGGACGTCCCAAGTGAATACCCTTTCAGATCTAGGGTCTTGAAGGGCTTTCATGGCATAAAGGTGCAAACTTTATGGCCATAAAAGTCCCATGCAACCTTTAGACTACCATTTTGGCCTTTTAAGCTCCAAAGGGCCATGCATGAAGAGAAAGTTGAAGGCTTTACGTGTTCATCTAGTCTCTAAGGTCCAGATCTCTGTTTGTACACCCTATCTTGAAGTATTGATGGCTTTTGGATCAAGATCTAGATCTTTTATAGTTAGGGTTTGAGCTAAATATCTTGAGGAAGGTATTAACGGGTAAAGTTTCCAACTTACCCTTCTAAGGACATTTCCAGTCTATATATGAAGTATGGAGCTTAGAAATGAAGATTAGTGACTTAATCCATTAAGAAAGCTCAACAGACTGAAGAATTCGACGAGTTCAGAGAGGAACTCGACGAGTTGGGTCGAAGTGCCCCGATTTTGAAAAAGGAAAGACTCGACGAGTTTAGGACGGACTCGACGAGTGGGGTTGGAATGTGACAACCCGAAAATCATTGTCCTGTAAAGTTCAGATATTCAACTCAGCCGAGTGTCAGCCTTCGTTTTGCTATCTTTTAACGAAATTGTGGGTCTATATGAGTGTTCTAGGCTTAGTATAACCTAGATATGAGTTTTGGGAAGGGTTAGAAAGTGTGTAGCATCACAAAATCGGGCCAAACACACCAAAGAAGGTGTGTGCGGCCGCACACCCGCGTGTGCGGCCAGCCAGCCGCACACCCAGCCGCACACACCCTCCAGCCTCACACCTGACCCTATATATTGGAGGAGACCCCTTCATTCACTCTTTTCCCCTTTTGGCTGCACCCTACTTTCTCTCTCTCTACTTTCTCTCTCTAAAAACTTCATCCAAGAACACTCTAAAGGCCTCAAAAACGTGAACTAC